CGGGCCGCCTCCTCCCGCGGGCGGAGCCTCCCGGGCCCGGCGCCCTCACCGCGCCATAAACATAACGGGGTCCAGCCTCGGCCCGCGCTGCTGCGCGTTTATGGCGCTTCACGTAGAGCACGTGTGTCCGGGCGCCTAAGGCGGGTCGAGGACTGGGCTGAAACGCGCCATAAAGGGAGACCGGCCACACGGGCAAGTTGCTTTTATGGCGCGCGAGTGCGTCACGGTTCCGATAGAAACTGCGCAGAGCCCTGCCGGAGAGCTGTGACACGTTTTTAAAGCACTAACTTGAGAGCGGGCAGGTCCCTTGTGTCGTTTTTTTGTGGCGTAAGCGTGGCCGGGCTCCCTTTATGGCGCGCTTCACCGGCGCACTGCATCACGTACATGACGTGTTGCAGGGACCTAAGAGCAGCTGTAAATGTGAAGGAATTGGCACACCATTCACCAGGGAAGCGCGCCATAAAGGGAGACTGGCCACAAGTGCAAGTTGCTTTTATGGCGTGTGTGTGTAACAGTTCCAATGAAAGGTGTGCAGAGACCAGCCGGAGAGTTGTGATGCATTTTCAAGCACTAACTTTGTAGCCGGAGAGTCATTTTTATGGTGTGATCATTACTTTGCAAGTGTGGCCAGTCTCCGTTTATGGTGCACTGCGCTGGCTTGTTGCATACTATACGTGCCGTGTAGCCACACGTTGCGAAGCACCCTTCGCAAGTGAACCATGCCATAAATGTAACACACGTATGTAGCCACACGTGTAACAATCTCCCGATAAAAATGACTCTCCAGCTATAGAAAGAACCAACCGGGTATCAAGTTAGTACACTTTATGCAGCTTTATGGGCCCTGCCACATATTCAAATTGAAGCTGGACAGAAACCAGCAGCAGAGATGTTACACATCTTGAAGCACTAACTCTGTAGCTGATTGGCTCTTTTTCTAGCTGGAGAGTCCCTTTTATGGTGTGAGAATTACTTTGTTTGCGGCTAGTCTACCTTGATTGCACAATTCACCAATTAATTGTGTGCTAATTACTTTGCATTTGGGGCCAGTCTTCCTGTATTGTGCAATTCACCAATTAATTGCATACTAATTACTTTTCTCTGTGACCAGTCTATATTTATGGTACGATTGCATAGCATCAGGGGCCATTCAGGGCACAACAGATAGGCCTGGCAGGCAGATGTTGCCCGGCGGGCTCTCCCTTGATCCGAGTGGGAGCACGCTGGCCACTACAAATGAGCCCCGCTAGCAATCAAGGGCTGTTACAAGAGAGCTTTTCCCCGCTATAGGACGAAGGATTTTATTTGCGGGTAGGGCATCGCCCTTGGCATCAGCAGTGCTGTCTCTGACCCCAAATGAGGGGCTTTAGGGTGAGGACAGGGTGATTTTTTTTAAATTTTTATTTAAAGGGGACTCTGCTGAGTTCAATTCAGAGCCTTTGCCTGGTCTCTGGCAATAGTGTGAAACCACGGGAAGTTTCCCAACCCAGAGTCTTCTGGGGCCCATCTATGCCACCCAGTCCTCGCTGTGCCAAGTTCTTTGATTCTCTTGTTGCTCCAGGTTTCCCTCTTCATCTCACAAGGGACATGAATGTAGAGGGGATTACAGGGATTTCCATCTCCATTCTCCCTTCTCCCTGCCAGCCAGTTGGTCTTTCATAACCAGCAAGGTGAATGTGGGAGGGGGCAGGAAAAGGCAGAGGACGTGTGTGCAATGGCTGATCATTCATCCACCCGCCAGCCATGGAAGAGAGCAGCCAGGAGTAGCAAGGAGGTGATCACAATGCAGGGAGAGTCCCATGCCTTGGCCTGCTTCTGTGAGTGAAGTCACATGTGTGCTTACGTGTCGAAAGGTTGCCAGAAGCACTTTCTTGCTCGGCAGGTTTTGGTCAGTTAAAGGTCATGATAACCAGCAGTGATTATAACTATATCTTGCATACCATGCCTGGCTGTGTGTGGTATTGCAAGGGCTGCATTTTCACAGCAGCAAACATGGTTGATGAGATGACCTAGTGAATCAATGAAGAAGGTGATGCTCATCGAGTGTCTGGTAGCAGGGATATTTTCTGAGTCCGTTCTTATTTTTCTCTCATTGGGACTTCAAGTTTGATCCTACCAATGGATCTGTGCAGGCAAGCCAGATACTTCAGTTGAATACCCCCAAGAGTGACCATGAAAATCCCGAGGCAGGCTCTAACCCTTACAGCTGCCTTGGTGCAATGTGTTGCAACTCACAGCAGCTGGGAAGGCTTCCCAAAAGCCTGGGCAAATTCAAAGAAACATCCTGTTTAGAAACCAGTTTGCTCTCTGTACATATTGTTCATTTTTAGGGATGGAGGGAGGGTTCAATTAGCTTTGCTTTGTTTTCCCCCAGAGACCTTAATCTGAAAACAGATATGGCAAACTGTATTCTTGTGTGCCCATTAAGCCACTGGAGCAGCACCGGGCCCTGTTGGGTTCCTGAAGAACTCATCAACCCTTTTGTTTTTCTTCTCCCATCCTCTAAGTAATAACAACTGTTTTTAATTACAACGTGCAACATCTGGCCAAATATAAAATGGGGTGATCTCACCGTTCAAACTGTGATCCATTTAAATGGGCATTTTCAAGTTCCTTCTTGGTTCCTGGGATCAACACAGCTAAATCAGTAAAACAGGAGGATTTTTAGATCAAATATGTTTGAGTTTTCCATTATCTAGCCTTTAGTTAATTTGGGTTTGAAACATGAAAGCAGAGTGCTCTGTTTCACTTTGGCTTATGGTTGGTTTCGCTTGTTTTGGGAGTTAATTTCTTGGATTGCTATTTGGTAAGCACTAAAACCACCAAATACCAATTGTCCTTGCTGGAGTCTACAAAAGGTTACACCTGTGCTTAATTTTAAGGTCAGGGATTGGAGCAGGCTACTTGATTAAGCAGCCAGACAGAGTAAACAGGTTGAACTGAGAAACTCACACTAGGGAATCACCAGGCTAGACAATTTTGCTCTCCACTAGTCCTGAACCGGCATGGGGTTGAATTTTGGGTTTTCTTCACTGCAGGATCCTGCTTGTATCTAGGGGGAAAAGCTGTTGTTGGAAGGAAAAGCAGGGGGAGAAAGAGAGCGTGTCTTTGTTCCTATTTGATCTCGTAGTGCCCGTTTCCTTGTGTTTGCGCATCAGGGTATTATTTATCTGACAGGGTCACAGCACTGCGCCAGAGATGCTGATCTTTAACCCTCTGCAAGGTCCCGCAGGAGAGACCGCAACATAACGCTGGTTTTATAGACTGTCCCAGCCAATCTGGATGCTGCCTCGAGCACCACCCACTCTATAATAAAGACATACTGTGTTTTTATGGGAATTTCTTTGGGATGAGGGAGCACTGACGTGCGTAATGTGTAAAAAGCCCCAAACGGTCTCAATTGGTCATTGTTCCAGCTGCCTCGCTGCTTGTCTTTAGAGCAATTTTCCAGTTTCCGATGCAGGGCCTCAGTTTATCTCTATGCAGGGAGGGGCAAGGGAGAACAGCTGGGCAGAAGGTTAAACCAGTGATGGAGGCTTTTTCCAAAACCTTTGTGTGAACAACCCTCACATGATTTATTGTTTGTAAACAGTGACCCCAGGGCTGGCCCAGCCTGCGCTGTGATGCTTGCCAGCTGCTGCCTCTCCTTTCTCAGATTTCACTTCGCCTAGCAGTGCTGATTGTTTGCGCAGTTGGAAGGAGTCTGGCGCGTGGGGATTTCAGTCCTGAGCACCTCTCGTTGGCGGCACAGCCTTCAGTCACTGGGCGCAGAGCATAGCACTGTAATTAAGGAAGAAACAAACACACCCCCCCCCCACCACCACCCACTGCTAGGTTAGTTGTAAGCTGAATCATTGCACACTTACTGTCTGCTTTAACCATCCAGTGCAAATCAGTGACTACTGGCTCTGCTTAAAGCAACAGCCTAGCTGGACCCACTTCTCTACTCTGACACCAGGCCAGGGTGCTGAGATCAGATCCTGAGCTCTATAGGCAAGATGCCGTGTAACCTTTGATCTTTGCGGCCATGTGCACAATTCCTGATACAACAGCAGCAGCTCCACTCAGGGCCGAAGGCGTCAGGCTTATTTCCTCAGGGGAAGGAGCATGTCACGCTTCTCTTCCTGACCTTCCTCAGTGGGCTCTTTAGGAAGCTGTAGCGATGATTTTTAGCAGAGGGTGGATCACTAACACACAGAGGCTTTGTGGGAAGGATAATGATAATAGTTCACACCCAACCTCTCCCATTTCCCTGTGTTCCCTGCAGTGGAGGAAAGGTTTGGGATAAGATCAGGCATGCTGGACAATGGAAACTTCCTCTGGGGCACTGCTGA